TTTCCAACCTAGTGATTCTGTGATTCCTTGTAGGTAGCTAGCATAGCTGCAAAATTGGTTTCATGCAAGAAGGAGTTCCAAGCCCAGCTTTCCTAGGCTGTTTCTAATTAAGTTTTGATTTGAATACAATTTCAGATAATACCCCATTAAATTCTTCCCTTCAGTTCTTTGAGCATATTGTACTGGTAAATGTGCTTATGCTGTCTTTAAGGAAAACAGTAGGGATCTGAGTTGCTGACATGCAATCTGGAGATCCACCATAATCACATTTGTTTGGTTCAGAGCTACTCTTTCCAAGTTTGCTGCCCGCTTGTGCTTTTATCCAGGCACTCCCTTGAAAGCAGCTGGGTGGTCTGTTCCATTTCTTTTGGCACTGTAGTGTACACAGACCTTACGAGTTGGTGGGTTTACACAATGCCCTAGCTTAAAAATTAATTTCCACAGCTTCATTTAAAAGGTCTTTTGTGGCAGAGGTCAAGTATTGATGGAAAGCATCTGTCTGTTAGGAATAATTTTTTTAATGCAGTTTTTTAGTCTGCTCAGTTGAGACTTTTTAATTCCATTTTATATTAATGCTGACCAAAGAAATCAATAGCTAGCCTTCAAATAATCTATCAGAGAGAGAAAAGGCTTTTAAATGTACTTTTCTTGTGGAAAGTAGGGTAAGGGAGTAGCTGTCATTTTGAAATGTAGCATTTGAAAGCAAACTTACCAGAGGTTAGGTCTGTTACTTTTGTGCTGTCCACAAAATGCTAGGTAACTTCCAGTGGTTTGGATTTTTAAGTGTATGAAGTTTTAAGCTTCAGTCAGTGCATTTTAGGTCTGACAAACACCATGCCAGTATCCCTTGAGTTTTGGCAATCTGTTTCTTCCTCAGTCTTGGCAAATGTTGGTTCTGATGTGCTGCAGTGGAGATTGCTGAGAAGAAATTACAGCTGGATTATATTGCTTCATTCTGGGCTTCCCTTTTGCTATTGAGGGCATGAGCTATTTTGACTTTATTCTCCAGGAGCAGTCTATAGCTTTATCTGCTGCCCTGCCCCTTTCATTCAATCTAGGGACCTGCTTTGACATCTTGTTTCAAAAGTAAAGTGAAATTAAAAATTCTTAAGGGTATAAGATTTATTTTAGTGGCATGACAGGAGCCTTCCATCAAACTAAATGATAAAGTTCCAAACGCTTTTGGAGCCTGGATTGCTTGTGGGGGCTCCAGCAGGTTCATGCTGAGCAGTACAGGACTTCATCTGTACTTCTGGGATTGCTGATGGCATTCATGGGCACCCTCAGCGCATCACCTGTCAGCATCTTGTTTGCGTTGTACGGATTTAAACACCGCATATGCTAAATGCTCTTTGCAGCTATCGCGAGAGTGCAGAGCAGAGGTCCAGAGAATCCTCCATCAGCGTGCCATGGATGTGAAGCTGGACCCAGCCCTCCAGGACAAATGCATGATTGACTTAGGGAAGTGGTGCAGTGAAAAAACGGAGACGGGGCAGGTACTGTACACAGTAACGCTGCAAATTCATTTGCAAAGCTGGAGGGGTGGGAAGGGCGAAAAAGGGGATGAAGGGACATCTTGTTAGCTGTCCCTTTATAGCTGAGAATATATTAAAGCGTGCAGTTTGAGACATAGTCTGTGCTAGACTGAGAGATGGAGGCGATATCAAGAAACTTTGCACCGCATGGCTTCAGTGGGTGCAAATGTATAGTGGAATGAGGAGGAGGGAGGGGATAGTTAACAGGAAGGATTTTAATGAAGCAAATCCCAGCCCAACCTCTGACTCTTACTTGTAATATTCTATTAGAAGCTTGACATTTCCCACACAAACTTTATCCCATTTCCATTTGGCAAATACTGACATGCTTCCTGTGTTTATACAGAACTGAACTAACATCTGCTGAACAAAGTTTCAACAGACACTTTCATGTTAAATTGCTGAGCCCTAGTGTAGCTGTAGAGGAGGAGCCATTCAACAGCAGATGCAGTAGAGTGTACACCATTGTGTTTTTGAAGTGTTAATCATAGGTTGTAGTTTAGGTAATAAACCTCTCATAAAGGTTATGTGAAGGGCAAACTAAATGTGATATCCCAGAAGTGAAAGCACATCATGCAGCTTTTGAGAACAAGCAGTAGCATCCTAGACCAACATTCTCAATCACTACTACATATGTGTTCTGGGAGTTCCAGCAGAGGAGTGGGATTAAATGAGATTTAGGACTTTACAAGGAGGAGGGCAGTTCAACCTGTGTTGCAGTATTTCAAGCCCAAATTTTCAAATTGGGTTCTTGGATCACACACCAAAATGTCTGTGTTTGTAGGAGCTGGAATGCCTTCAGGACCATCTTGATGACTTGGTGTCTGATTGCAGAGACATAGTGGGAAACCTCACTGAGCTGGAGTCCGAGGTGAGCCGTTTTCAGCCTGGGATAAAGGGAATAGCTGAGCATGTCTAGTTAGGTGTGTCATTTTGATAGTGATGAAAAAAGAGATTAGAGTAGCTGCGAAAATGCAGCTCTCTGGGATCAAGCAGAGACCATCCATTCTGCCTCATACAATGTAATTTTCACATGGTGTTCTTGAGGAAGAGAATTGAACAACAGTTCAGGATTTTAGGCTGATGATGACATTTCTCCTGCTTAATCAGTTATGATACTGAAGCTAAGATTTCTTGCGCAGGTAACCCAGTTACCTGTAGTACAAGTCAAGATATATCATGAGACATCATTTTTTGATCTTACTTGCAAGTAGTTTTGAGTAGCATATTGCAACTTCCCTCTCCAGTCCCAAAAACTTTGCAAGAAGTAATTGCCAGGCGCATTGTTAGGGTTTTCAGTGAGGTCAGCAGCTTTACTTATTTTATGGAGCTGCATATTTGACTGTCTCGCCTCAAACTGTTCCCCATATTTGTTAAAGTTTACATTGTGCCTTAGGGAAAGCTTCCTTCCAGTGGTTAGAAAACTGTTCAAAACTATCATTAATCTTTAACTCCTGCCTAGGTGTAAGGCGACTTCTAGTGCTGTAGCATCTAGTTCAGAGCAGGTTGACTGAAATATCCATCTTCTGTAGAGACCAGGCCCTTCCCTTAAGCTGGAAGGCTTGTCTTGCATTTGCCACGTTATTGGCAAAAGTGAACCCTAGGATTTCCAGACTGAAGGGCAAAGCTCTCTGGATTGCATCTTTCAAAACCCTGTAAACTGAGTTGAGTTTAACTTGTTATCACAGGGTTTTTTCAGAGCCTTTTTTCTTGTTCATTCATTGTGAAAAGGTAATATTGCATGTTTTCTGCAGGACATTCAAATTGAAGCCTTGCTGATGAGAGCATGTGAGCCCATTATCCAGACATTCTGTCATGTAAGTACTCTGCAATAGCGTGAATATCTTTACAGGAAAAACACCATGTGGGAAAGGCTAGAGGTTTTTAATATTGGTTCTTGATGTACTTTTGGCACCTCAAGAATAAAATAAGAGGTGTAAGCAGTTACAGAAGTCTTTTATTAAAAAACAAAACAAAAAAACACCCTGAAACAAGAATTCTTAGTCCCATCTAATACTTCTGCTGTTGTCAGAACACTAACACAAAAGCTAGAGGATCGAAGATGAAAATTTCTCTGTAATTGTAAAAGTTACTCTTTACAGTGGGTTAAAAACTAAGCTTTTTTCCTTCCCCCTTGCCCGCAAGCAGTGTGCCTAGCCACTCCACTCTGTGCAACGGCTCAGCATTGACGAAACAACTTCTTACATTGCTCTAAGATTGAGTAGTTAAATAGCAAAGAAGGCACCTAGCTGTAATACTTCATGTAAGCATTGAGTCTCTGCAGTATATTCTCTTGAGTCTAAAGTGTGCGTGTGCCTGAGATGATTCTTTTCTGAATGGTATAGTTTATATACTGTAACTATATTTAAGTATAGAGTTACAAAATATATATTGTTTATAGTAAATGCTTGTGTGGTACAACTCTCGGGTGGTCAGTTAATGGTGAGTGTAAGCTCACAAGAGAGTAGCACTGCAGGTTCCACTATTTCCTGTTCACAATGGGCTAAAGGAGCATAGAAGTCATGACTTGTAAGAGTAGCTCATTTTTAAGCCTTTCACCTGTTTTTCAGGAGGTTGCAGATAACCAGATTGATTCTGGGGACCTGATGGAGTGTCTAATACAGAACAAACACCAGAAGGAAATGAATGAAAAATGTGCAATCGGAGTTACTCATTTCCAGCTGGTAAGCAGCACTTTTCTGTGCTATCAATGGAAGCCTGTTCTGTTTGTTGAGGGTGTTGACAGGAGTTAGCTAATTATGAAACCTCTCCTTTGAGATCAATTTCCCACTTTTTAAAGTGCTTTTGTGAATTCAGAGGATTGTACTTGCATGGCTAAACATAAATGGTCACTTCTGGAGAAGATTTATTTTCAGGCCCTCCTTCCTTCCTTGTGTGTGGTAGATAGGGTCCCAGCTTCTTCAGTAGTGCAGCATCCCTTTTGCTTCCATGTTAATAAATTGGGGACAGAAGCGTTTGCTGATTGTATGATTCAACAAGTGTTCTTTTGGGCAGTGCTTTTTCTTTTCTTGTATTTTTTTTTTCTCCAGATGAACAAAGTTGTTTTTTCTCATTTCTCTCTTGCAGGTTCAAATGAAAGATTTTAGGTTCTCATACAAGTTTAAAATGGCTTGCAAGGAGGATGTGCTGAAACTTTGCCCCAACATCAAAAAAAAGTATGTAGCACCTGACCAAACAGCAATCTGACTGTATAAATAGGTAATAAAGTTACAGGATGCTTCATGATAGGACAGAAAAGGCTGGACTTCCTTTAAAGGCTGATTGTTTTGTGTGTTTTTCCCTTAGTGACTGTGTTCTGCAGATACTTAAGGTATTGGCATTAAGGCATTGCTGCCTCTTTAAAATTACTTCTGCTTTACCCTTGCAGACAAGCCTGTCCTCTTTTGTTTTTCTTGCTCTCAAAATAGCTATTACTTACAATTAGTGGACTTCATGTCCCAGGATGTCTTATATCCTTGCTAGACATTGTCTTCTAAGATGCAGGCTACTGTTGTTCCAGTTGCTGATCTGGGAAAGGAAAATATCCCACTTGCTTTAGCTGTTTTTTTTCAGTATAGAGTTTTTTTCAGTATAAGGGTGTTTTTTAATGGCCTACTGCAATGACATAAGGTTAAAGTACACACAAGGTCAATCCTGTTTGTGAATAGCAAAGCTCTTTGCATTTTTGTGATATAACAGCCCTTCCCATAATGCAAAAGAATTGTTTGCAATGCCATGTAGGTATTCATCTATTTCTGAGATTTAGTAAGGCTTTTCTAAAGTGCTCACATGACTGAAGAGCAGAGGTCTTGCTGGGCACGTGTGTGGTGGGATTCTGAGTATCTTCCTGTCTGATCCAGACTCCAATTAGATAGCATCAGATTTAGATTTTAATTGCGATTCAGCTACTCTACATAGAGCTGTATCCAGGCTATAAGTAAGCATAGATGCACAAGGACTTTATGTTGGTTTTGGATTCTTGGGGTCAGTTTTTTCTAATGTGGTGATCCAACACCAATCTTGGCTGGTCTAAGTGAAGGGTATATGAGTAAAAAGCTGTCTTCTGTTCTGCAGGGTGGATGTAGTGATCTGTCTGAGCACAACTGTGCGCAATGATACTTTGCAGGATGCCAAGGAGCACAGGGTCTCTCTGAAGTGCCGCAAACAGCTGCGTGTTGAGGAGCTAGAGATGGTAAACATGTGTGAAACTCTTGATCTGCCCACTCTTCTAGCGAGGTCCTTCAATTAAAGCTTCCGAGTTTGTCCACTCTGGAAGAAAAAGGAAGCTCATTTGTAAGATCTAACTTGTTTTTTCCACTCTTCTTACAATCTGAGGCTCAGTTGCCCTCCATGATGAAAGTAATGATTGCCTACCTTAATGCCTTAAATACAGTCTCATGAAGGCTAAGGCAAGCTAAGTGGTCATTAAAATTTCAACTAGAAGTGATTGTGTCTAGTGTTAGGTAGCAATGTGCTACACATGCTGATGTCCTTGAAGTCCTCTAGGAGAGAATAAAAACTTCATTTTACAGACTGAGGATACAAGCACAGTTGAAGCAACTTGACTCCACCTGCTCTAAGTTGCTCAGTGGATAAATAAGAGTAGTATTTGTTCTGGTATGCAAGGCTGCCTCTTAAGCTTCCTGCTGCAGTGCTTTGCAGCAATAAACTCTTAAGGTCTTTTGTCCAGTAGATAGTGTTTGAGTGTTAAAGCTTCTCCTTAAGTAGGCTTATATCAGAAGGTGCAGCAGTATGGAAGTATTCAAATGCTGGGCATAGCTAAAGCAGGAAGCTTCATTCACATCCTCCAAATCACCTGATAGATGGCTGGCTATTAATCTGTCCTTTAGCTTTCACATGCAAATACTTCAGCTGTCTTGGACTTTTCTGTTGATGCCCTTCTAGGAGGAGCAGTGGAAAAAAAACTTGTCAGCTCTAAAATTTGGTTTAAACCCTTTCTTCAGTATAAAAAGCCAACTGATCCACTACATGGATTTGCAAAGTTGAATTCCCACTAACACCACTGCTCACAACCAGGACCCTTAAATTCAAAGAAGCTGACCTGCCTGTTGTGAGAGTTGCTTGCATTTTGTGAGTAGAGGGCTCTAGTTAATAGATTAACAAAGTAAAATTGTCTTTAGAGTCCTACTTAAAAGTTCATATTGTAATTTATCCTGCAGACTGAGGATATCAGACTTGAACCAGAACTGTATGAGGCTTGTAAAAGTGACATCAAGAATTACTGCCAAAACGTGCCCTATGGCAATGCTCAGGTAATGGATTTTATTAATAATTTACAATTTAATTTGTACTTTCATTTCAGAAAACTTTTGAAGAACACTTTTGCCCCTGTGAGTGCAGTGTTAGATTTTCATTTTGATACTGCTGAAATCTTTCGTTAGTATTTTGGAGCATAATTTTTCTTTCCACTGGTTCACAAGTTTCTATTGGGTGAGTGCAATGCTGTGAGCGGTTCGTTCCTCAGTTACTTCTAGTTTTAAGCTATTGGTAGCTGGTTACTGCAAATGTGGCTAAAGATTTCTTAGGTGCCATGTCTGCAAGATGAGGTTTGGAGTTTCGGAGTAAGTTTGGATAACCTGCTTCATTTCATTAAGTCTTTGTGAGAAAAGATGAGCTTAAAGCAAGTCCTGGAAATCAGCATTGGTAATGACTTTTTTGATAAAATCTAGGCATTGGGAGCTTGACTGCACAAATCAGGTGAAGATAGCCATTAGGGGAACATGTAGCTGTATGTTGTGAGCAGCATATGACAGAATCATATCAACGATGTGTCTTATGGTTGTAATACTGTATTGTAGATTATTGAATGCCTGAAAGAAATCAAGAAGCAGTTGAGTACCAGGTGCCACCAGAAGGTGTTTAAACTGCAGGAGACAGAGATGATGGATCCAGAATTGGACTACACACTCATGAGAGTCTGCAAGCAGATGATAAAGGTAATGATAGTGTGCTGATATAAGAGGTTGAGGTTGGGATACGAGAGCTCTATTGGTTTTGACCTTCCCAGAAAAGCTTATTTACAAGACTGTTGTATTGTTTCAGGGGCATGACTGCTTTTTTGCAAAGTAATCCATTTCTTAACTCTGAATCAGGCTGAGGTTTCTTCAGGTCTCTTCTCTTCAGATTTGCTTCCTCCAAATATCTGATCAAAGCCTGTGTGCTAATAAATTCTGCCAGCAGAATCGAGGAGGAAGTCTGTGCTGAGGCTTCCGATACAGTTTTCATCCAGTCAGTTTGGATTTGGATTGGCTTTTAGCAAAGGGGAAGAAGTTATGATTACAGAGAGGAGTAACATCTTCAGTTCACTGCTGACCTGGTGCACACAGACTTTCATCAAACTGATAAAGCAGGCAAAATCGTGCACAACTTAAAAATTAGAAGTGCTGGCTTAAAGTGGCACCACGTGGTATGCAGCAGTGAATGTTAATACAAGACACTCTTGCAATGGTAGCCAGAATGGCAAGCCCTGAAACACTAGTATGCGTGGTCTGGATGCAGTCCTCTGACTCCATGTTGTGGCCAAAGCAGAACAACTTGAGAATTTATTGTTCTGCAGCACAGACTCAAGCTTTTAAAAAAAAGACCTGTAATCTCACCAAAATGGTGAGGATTAGAAGATGCAACAGCCTTATCTTACACCCACAGAATTGGTTTTAACAAAAGAATTTAGTACCTTGGTCTGAATTTTGGGTAAACTGGTTCACTTTTGACTATCTCATTCAGGGGGGGAATGGGCAAATTGGTATTGGTGACCTGCTCTCTGCTTTCTTACTCTGTATGGTATTCCTTTTGTCTTGAGTGTTACTAATGAAGTCTTTACCTGTCACTTTGTCCAGCCAGTGTTTATGCAGAACAGTATGTGTGTAGACTTAAAAGATTCCCTTTTTAGTTTCTGAGATAAAGGGGACCAAAAGGAGTTGGGTACAAGACCTAACTTGGTGAGTATTTTCTTGCAAAGTGTGCTGTAACTTAAGAATAGAAAATAAAGGCAAATTGCTTTTGATACTGCCAACACCAGCTGGTGCCAGGAAGCCAGTCAAGACTGTATGGCTTAGTGCTCAATCCATAAGCAGAGATACTCATGCCCACAGTCAATTTAGAGAGTAGCACTGTTCTTTGTAATAGGAGGCATTGAGGCTAGGGAGTGGTGTGTCTGTATACCTCTGGGGGGGGCAGGTGGTTATTCTCCTCCAGTGATATAGTTGGGGGTTTTTTGAAGTGCTTAGTGATGAAACTTGGGTTTTTTGGGTTTTTTTGTAGCGGTTTTGTCCAGAGGCAGACTCAAAAAATATGTTGCAGTGTTTGAAACAAAACAAGAACAGTGAAGTGATGGATCCTAAATGCAAGCAAATGATTACCAAGCGCCAGATTACACAGAACACAGGTATCCTCTTCTGAAAAAAACTTAACTTACCTACCGGAGCCGTTGAGTGGGCTGCATGGCTGAAAGAATATTCACTTTGTTTTATTCTCCTTCATGGTTGCCAGTGCACACACTGACTTTATTCAGTTAAGTTCTTGAGGGTCAGCAAGCATTACTGGATCTACTATCTTCCTGAAGCTCTTACCTCACAAGTTAAAATTCTCTGCTGAAAAAATACAGGGTTTCACCAAAACTAAATGTGTTGGTGGCACAATGTCATCCAGGAAATTACTGTCAAATACACTTTTGATGTGTACTCTCCTGAAATTGTCATCTTTCCCGGTTAGATTACCGCTTAAATCCAGTGCTCAGGAAGGCGTGCAAAGCAGACATACCAAAATTCTGCCAAAATATCCTGAATAGGGCCAAGGATGATACAGAGTTGGAAGGACAAGTTATCTCGTGCCTGAAGTTGAAATATGCAGACCAGGTGAGTAGAGCTGGTGCATGCAAATAAGAAATTGTGCAGGATTGTGCTGAGCAACAGTCATTGAATAGCAAATCAAGCTTGGCTTGTGGTGTGTTTGATATATGTAATGGGCTGTACATAAATGAGTTTTTAAGCTCCTATAGAAGTATTACAGAATACAGAGGTTAAAATGCGAAGTGATTGATTTATGAAAATAAAGGTCATTGAGTGGATTAATGACTTTCTCTGCTTAATAGCGTCTCTCTCCAGACTGCGAGGACCAAATTCGAGTGATAATCCAGGAATCGGCTCTTGATTATCGACTGGATCCTCAACTTCAGATGCACTGTTCTGAAGAGGTAGGAGAAGTAGCTCAGCAGCTCCTTTTGTCCAGTGTGCAAGAATTGCAGTTTCCTGAGCAGTGCTGATGTAAAGTTAATTTCTTCATCTGGGATCCCATTGGTACTTGTGACTATGCAAAAATACTGCTTTCCTGTTGTAAAAAAAAATGTGTGCTAGTTCTTTGGTTCTTGTCAACCTTAACTGGAATACACTCAGATTTTGAGCTTTCACTTTTGATAGCTGAATCAGCCGTGTCTCCAGTATTGCTTATTTTGTATCTTAAACATTTCTACGCTGTTTTTCTCCCTGCTTTCCTCTCAGTACAATAATATTGACTTCTTGCTGTTAGGTATTGAAGAGTATGCGTATTGCATGAGCCAGGCTGCATTTGGCTCTGGGGATTCGGGGAGGGGAGTGGGGGAGGAAGTATCTCATGTGTTTTCTAGCTGTACCCTGTGATGAACTAATGTATTGAGATATAGCTGTGCTAAAAGGCAGAATAATTGTTGTGAACTACTTATGTTAAAATACCTTTTTCAAAATAGATTTCCAGTTTGTGTGCAGAAGAAGCAGCGGCTCAGGAGCAGACTGGGCAGGTGGAAGAATGTCTAAAAGTGAATCTGCTGAAAATAAAAACTGAAATGTGCAAGAAGGTAAAGGAAATAAATGGAATGTGCTCTAAAAGACATCCCATCCCTGCAGAAGTCTGTGATTTTTCCAGATCACAGCCCAGGACATGTTCTAGCTAGTACAAAGCCAGAGCTCTGCAAATTTCCTTACACATCTCAGTTCTGGCCTGCAGCAATTCAGCTCTATTTCAATTTGCCAGTGAAAATTGTGCTGACAGTGCCTCCTTTGCAATTCTAGGCTTCGATCCTTCCTTGGTTATGGTTGCCAAAGCTTCTTGTTACTAATCGGTTTTCTGTTGCTGTCTGTTTCAGGCCTCCTGAGTGCTGGGTATTGGCCTAGGCACTAGCTATGACCAAGAGCTATATAGTTGTCCCTGTGGCTATGGCACCTTATTTCAGTTCTAACTGAAGTAACCTGGCATATTGACTTTGTATTTTAGATTAATATGGGTATTTTAATGACTGTAATTATGGTAACCCTTACAAACCAGGACATTTAATTCAGCCTAAACCAGTATTCATAGCCTCATGCGGTGACAGTGGTGTTTTTTTGTCATGATCCTGGATTTAAAAAGATGATGAAAAAATCAGAAGTGTTTCAGAAACATTGAGCAATATGAGTTTTGTTCTTGGTCCTTTTTTTGAGATGTACTTGTAATTCCCCCCCCCCCCCCCCCCCCCCCAGGAAGTGCTCAACATGCTGAAAGAAAGCAAAGCAGATATATTTGTTGACCCAGTGCTCCACACAGCCTGTGCCCTAGACATCAAACACCACTGTGCTGCCATTCCACCAGGGAGAGGACGCCGTAAGTGCTTGTGCTTTACTTGTATCACCTGTGAGTCCTGAGGGCCTTAATGCTGGTAAGAGAATGCAGCTTATCTTAAGTACCAGATCCTTCCACCAGTCCTTTGCAGGTAAAGGAAGTGGAATGGCTGCAGAGGTGGTAGATGCCACTAGAAGATGGCTATTGAGGAATCCTTCCTTGTGTCCAAGGAGGGACCAATCCTGATATAATATCCTTGCAGCCTTATCTGCAAATGTAATGAGTATATCTTGCATTCCATCATTCATGTGATTACTGACAGCGTTTGGTACCCGGTCCATAATCCTTCTGTAAAATCCCTCTTTAGTGAAATACTGTTGAAAGTGAGCTCTTAATACACATGGACTGAAGTACATGGACTCATTTTTCAGTGAGGTTTATCTCCCACCCTGCATCAGCTTCACACAGGATAGAGCTACCAAGCTTACTTATGACAGTGTTACATCAGACTGCATCAAAAGCTTCCCTGGAACTAAGCTGCTTCTCTTAAAGAAGCAAATCAGTTTGCTTTCACAAGACTCACTCTTAACTTGTCCACTTGGTCCTTCTTTCTTTATGTCAGTCTTTGTCCATGGTTGGCTGCTTTGTTTCAGCGTTTTTGACAGACAAAACTAAAGTGAAGTCCTTTGACCCTCTTTTTTTCTTCTCTGCTTAAATGTACCAGTTTTTTCTTTTCCAGTATTACAGAGGGTAGGTAATCTTTACTATATTTAAGTTCACGTAGCAGCTAAAGGCTTTGAGACTTCATCAGCTGTTCCAAGTCACCTAAGACTACAGAGTTCATCAGGTTCAGACCACTTGAAGCATTGTTTAAGTATTTCCTAAGACATTCTTTTCCTGTTTGAGGTCAAGCTCTTGCACTTGGTTTAGCTTGCTATTACGTTAGCTAGCTGCTTAAGGAGAGCTAACAGGGGAAAAGTTCTGAACTTTCCCATCATTCTGAGTTTATCTGGCCTTAAAAATAGCGGCCCAGTATTTTCCTGGTCGTTGTCTTTCGTGCTGGTTGCTGAATCCCTTTCTGAAATTCTGGATATCCTTTATTTATTCCTGTTTTGTCATAATTCTTTTGTGTGTTCCAATGTGTTTGCACTGAAGGTATGCAGAAGTCTGTAGTTTAGGGGTCTGCCTCTGAGTGTTTGAAATTGGGTTCAAAAAGTCTGGAGTTAGTTTAAAGTTTGCAGCCTGTTTGCTATGAAGAGAGTAGCTCTTCACTGCAAAGCAGAAAGTATCCAATTAGGGGTTATTGAAGTAGGGCAGTATAAGTATAAAATACAAAATTTTCTGTCAGTGTCTCATATGAGTATCTAAAAGAGCTCATGAATTAGCCAAGGTGCTCTATAGGCACCCAGAACATTGTGATCCCATTTCCCTTGCTCAGGACTGTGCAAAAACTCAAGAAGTTCAACTTTCCAAAACATTTTGTTGATGAGAAGAAACTCCTAACAAGCCTAAGGAGATCCACTGTGGTTTTTTTCTCTCAGATGAGTTTGATTTTAGTTCTCTCTAAAGGGTGGTGGCATGGAATTTAGAGTACAGCTCATTGAAGATGCAAATTTATAAGACTGTAAAGTCACAGGAGTTACATCTGAATACATACTGTAATTTCTTTTGGAAGTCAAAATTCCTTGTGTCTCAAAATGCAGTATTAATCATGAATCTTAGTGAAATGGCTAGCTTCAACAAGTCTTTGTATACAGTCTGTCAGGCTGGCTAGTCTGTTTCGCAACCTATGTAATCATCAGCCTTTAGAAGTGAGGTGTCCCTTTCCAGCAGCCTTTCTGTAGCATGTTGTTGAAACCACTGTTTCTATTTTGTAACACTGTCGTCTTCTGCACATTACAGAAATGTCATGCTTAATGGAAGCTCTGGAAGATAAGCGTGTGAGGTTGCAGCCTGAGTGCAAGAAACGTCTTAATGATCGTATTGAAATGTGGAGCTATGCTGCAAAGGTGAATATGTAAAGGATTTCAGTAAACTACTTCCTTTTTTCCCCACTGGATCTTTCTGTTGCAAGCTATTTGTGAAAAACTTCAACCGTGATGAAATTCTTGTCTCTGAAGTTTAGCATTTTGAGTTTGGTCCAGACAAATGGAAATCGGATCTCCTTTTCTGGACTTGTATATCGTACTCTCTCTGTGTCTGGGATGCGTCCTCATCAGTGCAGAATTAAACTGTCTTTTGCGTGCACAAGGCTCGATCTCCTGTAAAGAAGGTCTGGGGCAATGCAATAGGGTCAGCAGACCTTTCTGTTGTTATAACGCTGTCTTCCTTCAGACACATCATTGCAGGCCTCCTTGTTTGTGGTTCAGGACAAGTGTTATGATGACAGGAGGCAATAGCAATACCAGAGACTAAACCTGACAAATGCCAAGGCTGAGGGTCACATGGAAAGAGCAGATTGTCTCATTTATTCCCTTCTCACCTCCAGGTTGCCCCAGCAGAAGGCTTTTCTGACCTTGCCATGCAAGTTATGACCTCTCCGTCCAAGAATTACATACTGTCTGTGATCACGGTTGGCATCTGTGTACTCTTCCTCATCGGCCTGATGTGTGGACGCATCACCAAGCGGGTGACAAGAGAGCTCAAGGACAGGTAGAGCCTGGATTGCCTGCTGAAGAAATGCCTGCCTAGTGCCGAGTTTTGTACAGCCCTCCTCTGTATAGTCTACCCACCCCCTCTTGTGAGAGGAGAATAAAAAAAAAAAAAATTAGAACAGCAGCAGGTGTTGGCTCAGTTTTCCCATCCTGGATCTCATCCACAGCATCTTCATCCAATGAAAGTTTGCGTGCAACATTGGCAGCCCAGCCAGCAGCTTTTGTTACCCCTTTGTTAGCAGACTCTTGTTTACCTGCCTGTAGACAAGTCTCTATTGTACTGTTGGAACTGCTTTCACCTCCAAATCAGACTGATATGACCTGCAGCTCAAGCAGTTTTTAAGTAAATTTTTAAAGACAGACATATATCTGCATACTGACTATATGATTTAGGTAATGGTTCATACTGAAATCTAGTCATCCTCGGTGGCTGGGTGAAATTGAGGCAGGAAATTAAAGGTTAAATTGCATCTTACACCACAGTTGGCCTTGTTTTGGACATCTTATATAAAGCATCTTCAGAGCATAGTCTTGGACAACCTAAGGACACCAGTCACTGGTGTCATCTTCTAGTGAATATCCTGCTTCTGTTACTGTGGATTTTTTTTGGCTGAAAAGATGTCCTCCCTTTCTTCCTCCACCACTCACAAGATAGAATAAAATACTGACAGGGATCAAATACTTATGTGAGCCGTACAACTCATATTTCAGTTGGTTAAAGATGCAGTGTAGATGCACGGCATGTAGAGCTTGTCAGCAGTGTACAGCGCTGCTGTCGGCAGGCATGAAGTGCCCTGATCAGTTACTCAGTCAACTTTTTTATTAGCGATGATGCAGTAAAATTCTAACACTCCTTTTATTTTACTTTGCTGCTGCTAAGCTGTTACCCTTCTTAATTAACTACATACAGATGGTATTGACACGCTGACAATACGGTGCTTTATCAGTGATGCAGAAAGTGACTGAACGCTCGACGTGCTCTATCTGTTAAAACGGTTACTTGTGGGCTTGATGCAGTGGTTTGTAACTGGCCTGTCTGGGTCTTAATGGTTTGAATGGTAGCACTGAAGAATGTTTTTCATTTCCACCATTGTATTTGATAAGGGATAGCAACTGGCGTTTTCTGGGATGTAGGACACAGGTGCTGGTCCAGAAGGCCAAGCAGAAGTGGATGGGAGGATGATAGTGTTGTATGAAAGGCAGAGACATCTGGATCTTTAAAGGGAAGTAGCTTTCACATTGATACCATCAGTGTGTGCACTGACGCTGTATATGGTTACACTCTGGGAACGTGATACTCGTACCTGAGAGCCCAAAGCAGGTGTTTTAGGAAAGCTGCACTAGTAGTTGTGGCCTCTTCTTACCATCACCTTTGTTCCTCAAGTACAAGGAGATGTGGAGTCTTAAGCCACCTGCTTTGGCTGAAAAGTTGAGTGTGTTGGTGAAATCTAGAAGTTGACTGCACAGGAGTTTGTGTGTACAGTAGGATATACTGTATTCGCCTTTTAGATGTGCTCAGCTGCATGTGCTGCAGTAAAAATCATGTGCCTGAAACTGTCCAGCTAAGGCTGATGCTTGAACCATAACTTTATTTCCCCACTGTTAGTGCACTGCCAGGTAAGACCTGACACTTCCAGTTCTCCACATTATTCTCTAGAAGAAAAGTGGAGGTGGTTTTGAGACACTTTGGAGTGTGGACCAGCTGATTCTGATGATGCTGCGTGTACAGACTGGCGCATACAAAATACTGTGAGCTTTTGCTGCAACTGAAGCTTTTTGCAAATGTACTTTCATCCCACTCTGAGGATCGGCAGCAAGCTATTAGTGATACAGTTTTAGACTTAGACTTACTATGCTAGTGAGTCTTTCGCAAACACTTCTGGTTTTATATGAAAGTATTACAAACACAAAGTAAGCAGTAGAGAATGTCTAAGCAATAAAGGTTCACTGGAGAACTAGTGCATGGTAGGTTTCCAGTGAAGTGGTTGGGTAAGAACAGAAATTAATCCTGAATTCTTTCTCTTGCCCCTCTTCCCTCATGCGAACGGAGCTTAAATGGCCCACTGTCGATGTGAAGTGGAGCAGAAGAGGAGCAGTTGATCATGTTTCTTGAGGTAGCACAAGTGTGTAATACCACAAATGTTAGTCTGGTGATTTTAAGTGTATATTGTTTCACTTGACAGAGTGTGGAATTACTGCTGTAGAGGTGGGTGTGTTTGCAGAGCTGCCGGCAAGGGAAGTGGGATCTTTGTGCAGCCTTGCTTGCTTGGCATGAGTCCTGCTTCTTGAAATGTCTATCAGGCATAATTAAATTGCTATCAGTGGGCTTTTTTTAAACTGTTGTGACTTTTCGAAAAGGCATTTTGTAACATGATTAGCTTGAAAAGCCTAATTAGATGGTTTATTGTCTAGAAATAGCATCTTCCGCTAAATTCAAAAAGACATTGCAGTGAAATTGTAGGTTTGTAGCCATAGTTCTGAATGTAAACCGTCCTCTGCTCTGAAGGTAACTTTCTTTTCTTTCAGATATAAGGCTTTCTGGTTTATGGTTTCATTTTTTTTCTTTTTAATTTGGAGAAGGTTAAGATAAGGGTGCCTGGAGTGCTGCGTTAGGAGTCTGTGGTCTACAGTGGTGGTTCTGACTGTGTCAGCAGGCTCATCTGGGAATTTGGTTTCAGTGGGAGTGCTCTGGGATGGTGTTACAGGTATGTGTCTGGAGGCCCTCTGAAATAAAGGTAGTATACTAAATAAATTTCTGCATGATTCCCTCAGATGCCCTTTGTCACTCTTAAGGGCACAGAGCCACCTTTTAAAGGTATAACACTGGCAAACGGTCAAGGCTGTTTCATCATTGAGCATCATTATCTCTTCACATTTTAAAATGGGGCCTCCTGCCACTGCCAAAACTTGCTTTTTTTGTGACTAGAAATCTACCAGTCCCAGTCTTGAAACATCCTCCTCCTTTTCACGTATACCTAAAAATCTAGAGGTCTCAAAAGCACAGAAGCCTACACAAGTACTCTTCCAAAAATAACCTGCTTGTCCTCTTGCTAACACAACCTCTTGCCTGCAGGTAACCATTTTCCATTCCAGGGAAAGAAAGAAATGGTTGTAAGAAACACTGCTGTTGCCTTGAATTTGAGGAAGCCTTTTTACCTTCTCTGATCTAATTGAGAGTGCTAGAAATAGCTGTGATCAGCCAAGAGAAGGGTGTTGGTGTGGCAAAACCTGGGGTGCCCCTTCCTCTTCATGACCCTTGCCTCTTGGTGGGGAAGGGCACCTTCCACAGAATGCGATTCGGGAGGTGGTTTCGTTGATTTGTGGTTTTGAGGGTTTTTTTTACTCCTTGTCATAACAAAACCTCCTCTTGGAGAGTGTATTCTGGATGTGGTGATGCTGATGCTCCTGGGGCTGTATGGAAGGGCTAGATAACTGGGACCTAGCATGGCATGCAGCTCTGTTTCCCTCCTGCTGCTGCAAGGGTTAACAAGTTATGTTTCCTAAATGATGGCACGTGTTTAGATGGCATGGGTAAGGGGGACTGTGCATGATATGCACCTTGTTACTTCACTCCTGCTAGTCTGTTAGTGTTCATTCTTGACCTTCATAAGCTTATGTATTGTTTCCTCTAGTGGGTCTAATCAAGTGCTTTTGCTGAGTTTCAGCTTGGGACTCTCCTGCCTCGCCTCTGTCACTTAGGCTGCTGGAGTAACTCATCTGGGTAGGAACAAAATCCCTGGCACTTCAAGTCCTGTCCAGTGAGCCAAGTACCGGTATGTTTGTGTCACTGCAAAGGGCTGGAATAGCCCTAATGAAGTTCAAATAATTCTGTAACAAAATTTAAGGATTTCACCCAGAATCTGACAATTAAAAATCCATGCAAATAGTCTTGTTCTGAAAGAATCCACAGTAAGCACATTGTATGAAAAATAATGGAGAGGAGAGAATGTCTCTAAGTACAGAAACTAACTGCGGGTGGGTACAGAGGGAAGAAATGCAGCGAGCCAGAGGGATCACTTGAATCCCATAATGTTGTAGAGGAATCGTGTTCAAGTTCGGTGGCACCTTCTGTTACAACACAACTTTATTATTTAGTTGAGAGAAGATTGTAATACTTTTTTTTTTTACTTTATCAGTTGTTTGGGTTTTTTTAAGAAAAAAAGTAGTTTTGAGGCGTGTGTGTGTGTGAGTGCATGAGTGTGGTATGAAACCAGAACATTTCATCTAGCACTTCTGTCCCCTACACAGCTCTGTGGACTCAAACAGCTGTAGTGTTGGTTTATGTAAAAGTACATTCTGAATGATGATGCTTAAAATCTTCAAGGTAGCTCCCAGGTACTGATCTTTGTGCAGCCTCCCTGCTTGGAGGCCAAACCCGCTGGCTCACTGCCACTGATGAATCGTGGTTAGAGGGGATCCAAATCACAGGCACATGGGAAAGAATTCAGCTTGGTGCCACTGTCCTGTCCTGTCCTGGTGGAATTCTGCATCCTGCCTGCTCTGTCGAGCTCCTGAGTGCTGCCTGGATGGGACAGGGAGGAGTAATAACACTTGCTGGCCAAATGCAGATTGCAGTTTTCTCCTTCCACAACATCCAAATTTCATTCCACAACTGACCGAAAGCAAGATATCCCTTCCTGGGCAGATTGCTGCACCCCAAAGTCCCACCCCACTGCCCCCCCTGTGTTTACTGAGTAGCTCTCACCTTGGGAAATACTGAACTAGGGGAACAGGGAAAGGTGTGACTGTCGCCTGTGCTGAGTGGAGATGGTCAGGAGCTGTGACCGATGCTTGTGTTGGACTGAACAGCATACTAGAGAAACCAGAGCTGGGATTTTTGGGGAGGTAAGGGGGTACACTGTAGGCCTCCCTCCACAGTGTGCAAAACAGACCCAGCACATTCCTATTGTACAGCAGAAGCTGTTTGAACTTAGTATCTTTTTTTAATTATTTTTAAATGTGACATTAATGCGACTTTTTTTGTAAATTGTTTTCCCTTTCTGTGTATAAATCCTGGCTGGTCCTTGTTTTGGTTTGTTTTTGGTTTTTTTACATGTTCATGCTGTGTAATTTTGAGATGTTACTGAGATTCTGAACATAATAA